GCCCCCCCCCCCCAAAAAAAAAAAAGAAAAAGAAAAAAAAAGGGATGTATTTTGAGTGGCACGGTGCCAAAGACAATTGTTTTTTCATGGGTTATATTCCCTTTACTGTTAACTATACATCCATAGAGAAAGGAAAAAACTCTGCAATGTGAGCCGAATTGTTTGGGTTGATGCTATTGTATAGTATATGCCTCACAAAGGGCCCATTATGCCCCAGAAAGAAAGCGACATCTGAGCCGAGCGCCCGGAAAAAAGAGCCTCCCCCTTGTGGTTGGCAATGCACCCTTCCTGTTTGATGCTGTATGCTCCGCCATCTTCGTCGATGGTTGTACGCTCCGCCACCTTTTTTTTTATTGATGGCGGCTCCCGATGCATTTTCATGGGCAGCTGAGTCCGACGCTATCTGGGTAAATGGCTGAAGCCTCTGGCATCTTCATCGACAGCTACCGTCTTCACCCAAATAGAACGCCCGGTCATTATAGCTGTATTTAGGGCAGCTTTCTGTCTAGATACGGCGGTAATGACAGGGCGTTCTCTTGGGCTGAAGACGGTAGGTCCCACAGGAATATGTGGCAAAATCATTCGAAGAAACCTTTATTATTTCTTCTGTGGTGAACAGGCTCGGTAATATATTGTACGATAATAATTTAAAATTTAATTCCCATTTATAATAATTTAATTCCCATTTGAAATTTACGATCTCGGTGCAAGTGCCCCATATGTGTGCGAATATTCCAAACAACTTCACAGTGAAATAATGAGCTAGAAGTTTCACAGACTCTTCGTCAAAACATCAACACTCGCTGACTCGGTGAACAGGGAGGGAACTGCGCTCCAGTATCACTTTTTTTTTTTTTTTCCCCGAGTGTCACCTCTGTCTCTGTGGAGTCTACATTTCAAACACTCCAACCAACTGTGATAGTCCGGTTGGATGTCTGCAGAGACTGGGAGAAAATCACAACAAACAGCACGAAGTGTGGATAGGAAGTGTGGATGTCCACAGAGACAGGGAGACAATCACAACAAACAGCAGCAGCCAGAGGACCAGAGGACACTAACGCCCTAGGGGCGCACCGGGGAGGTTGGACCCGCACTCGAGCCCAACAAAGGGAGGTGGCAGGGGAAAAGGGGGGACAGGTTGCCTATAGTGGCAAAGGTGTAACCATTCAATAAAGGGAGGTGGCGGAGAAAATGGGGAGACAGGTTGCCTGCAGTGGCAAATGGCAAATGGGTGACCAGAAGGAACAATGGCAGTCATGAATCCCGCAAGTGCTATCTGTCTGAGCGCCCACCTCCGTGGGTAACCGCTCAAAAGCGGTAGAATGGGTCTCTCATAGATATGCCACACCCTATCAAACATCTGCAGCCTCGGCAGCCCTCTGTCATCTTTCTGTAATCTTCCTAAATGTCTCTACAAACACTTTTCTGTAATAATGGGGACGCTGGACTTGGTTTCCAGCAGGTGCCGCTCCCTACCGATAGATGGAGCCCCTGACGAATGCTAGTGGTGTCTGCTCTTACCAGCATCCCTAGCAATTCTGCGGGAGTTTGTTAAAAAAAAAAAAAAAAAGATAGTGCGCTTGATACCGCTGATCAGTATTAGTAGGGACTATGACCACCAGAGGTGGCAAATTTTTCTGATGAGGTCATTTTCCCAATTGGGACTACAGCTGCAAAAGGAAGTCGCTGTGCTGGTTGAAGCAAAGTCTCCCCTCCCCCCCCCCTCCTTTCCCCTCTCGCTCTCCGCCCAAAAAAAAAGGGGGAAAAAAAGGGGATGTTTGTGGAAAGTTGATGGTTTGCAGAACTTCAATAACACCTCGGGTCACCCTTTTTTTTCCGTTGTACAAAAAAAAAACAGAAGAAAAGCAAGAATAAACACGAATAAACACGAATAAAAAAGAATAAAAAAGAAACACCAATTTGCTACAAAGCTACAAACCGAATTCTTGGGTTGAACAGTGCTCCCGAACCCAATAATGCTGGCGGTGCTAGCCCCAAAACCATAAAGACGTCACTCTGACGCTTGGGCATAGCTTGGTGTACAGCTCTCTCCCGCCTCGGCAAAAAGCGGCTTGGAGGTAGTCCTGGTTTAATGAAGTTGTTGAAATTCATGACAGGGTGAAAACTTGAAAAAAAAAAAATAATAATAATAATTGAAATTCCTTACAGGCTATAAAAAAGAAAAGGAAAAAAAAAAGAAAGTGGACCGTGACTGCCTGTCTGTGGGGAGCTGCGGCAATAGAAGCACTCAAGAGAAAATGATAAAATACGACTCACGAATGAATCGTAGACGCAGGCAGCAAAGAGGAAGACGCACCGTGGGCCCAGTTCTCAAAAAAATCGTAATAATTAAACTGCGAAAAAAAAAATGGAAATTGAAGGAGAGAAAAAAGAAGGAAAAGGGACAGGAGAGTGTTGGCCTTGGAGGGGAATGATGAAAAGGCAGGCGCAGCCAAAAGAAAAAAAGAAAAAAAGAAAAAAAGAAAAAAAGAAAAAACAAGAAAAAAGAAAAGGAAGGAACAATCGCTGGCAAAATGCTCGGTCTTTGTATTAGCCGGACCCCCACCGGCGGCCCCACCCCATCTCTGACTACCGCTGCTGGGGTCCCCTAAATAAGCCTTAGGAGTAGTGGCAGGGAGGTAGTCAAGGGTGGGGGAAAAAAGAGATTGAGTGAAGAGTACAGCGTAGTTCTAGGCTGCCAGGGTGGCCCGGGACCATTTGCCCGGCTGGGCAAAAGAAAAAGGGCAATATTTTTTTTTTAACTTTATTTTTATTTAAATTTTGGTAACGATTTTTTTTTTTTTTTTTTTTTTTTCCCGAACAAAGCGGATATGATGGGATATCATATAATCGGGAAACGGGCACGGCGCCCCTTGCATCATTTGCTGCGGCCAAACGGGCTAAGCGAGGCACTCTCGGCCAAGCCTATCCCTACCGAAGCCCCACCAGGTCATGACAACCGATCCCAATCCCAATCCCAACCGATGTGACCCGGGGGCAAAAGTTGTTCAGTTTATTTTTCTGCACGACTTTGTTTTTTTCAGATGTTTTTTTCTTTTCCTTTTTTTTTCTTTTTTCTTTTTTTTTTGCTGGGCCCTTCTTCGGCCCTTGTACGGCTGGGCTGCCCTGCCAAACAAGGTTACCCAGGCGGCCCGGTTGGTAGCCTAGGTGTAATTTTATTTAAAAAAAAAAGGAAAGTGAAAAAGAAGATTTTTCTTTTATGGGAGGTCAGGATGGATGGGAAGCGGGCATCATAGAGTAAAGCACCACTGCGAATCTGAAACGAGTTTTTTTTTTTTTTTTTTGAAACAAATCTGTTTTTTTTTTTTGGCATGGGAAACACATGAGGGCAGCTCTCAGGTATGATACTCTTTGGAGATGCCTTTTTTTTTCTTTTTTCCTTTTTTTTTTTTTCCCTTTGGACATGCCTTTTGTTTTTTTCGACGCACTTTTTTTCTCCAAACAATCCAAAAAAAAAATTTACTAACTTTCTAGTGACAATCAGCCTCAACTTGAAGGATCCCTTTTGGCACATGATTATGCGAGAGACGACGGCCGCCGCTCCACTGGGCAACAATGGACGTGTATATGGAATGTTAAATGGAGCAGATACATTCTGACTGATTGAACTGTATTGGGACCATTACCAGCTGCAGATACATTTTGAATGCAGGACCATTACCAGCTGCAGATACATTTTGAATGCAGTCGGACCAATTGAACATTTCAAATGTATTTGGACCATTTCCCAGGAAGGTGATTTTCCAGCTCTCATCACACCATCCCCGGATCGCCACATCATTCAGAGAGGCGCCGCTCTAACTGCCTCGAGGACAAAAAAATGCCTGCTTTGCTTGACATGCGCCTGAATCTGGATGTGTTCTAGGCAGAGATGCAGAAAAGCATGGAAGGGCAATAATTACCACCAAGATCCCCATCAGGCAGGAGTGTACACCTGGAAACTGGGAGCAAGGTCCGAGTACGGTAGTAGCAAAAAGGACGGGATTTTTTATTTTTATTTTTTTAACGGCCGAATCCGGACGCATTCGTCGAGAAGTGCAGAAAATGCGATTGAACTGCTTTTCTGCATCTCTGCATCAGAAAATGCGATTGAACTGCTTTTCTGCATCTCTGCATGAAACACATCCAGATTCAGGCGCTTTAATCCGATCCTCTTTTCTCTTTGCTAGTGGGACCGGGATGATAGCCTAAAGGGCTGTTTTTAATATCCCACCACTGCCAATCAGGAGGTTGTGGGTTCAATTCCACTTGCCCCTAGGGGCTTTTTTTCTCATGTGCGATGCCTGTTGCACTTTTGCCTGACGACAATGACCCCGCAGTTGTGCACTTTTGGCCCCAGCATTTCTTGGGTTCTCCCTAGTCAGTCAGAGAGGGGAAAAAAAAAAAAAAAAAAAGAGAGAGAGAGAGAGAGAGACCGGTATATAACTGACACAAACTTCACGACTTTCGACACGCATTCACTCATAGAAAACACGCATCAATCGTAGCCAAAATACAAACTCCGCAAATGTATGCTCAAGATCAAAAATCACAAATTCGAAAATTTCCTCCAAACTGACACTCCACCATTTCTCACGCCCTGGCCCATCAAACACAGCCCCCTTTCCCCTCGGGTTAACCCGTACAAGCTTTCTCCCTTTACGTTGGTGCATCCCCACCACCCAGTCGACTGCATCTACTATCTCCTCGTGGGGAAGACGACTGAACATATCCTTGACATCATAAGATGCCGAAAGGATCCCAGTGTCCATTCCCATCCGTCCGAAAGCCCTATTTGCTTTCCCTAGCGTCCCTGCCAGGTAGGACACAGCCGACAGATTAAAGTGATCCTTGTCAGGCAATTTCCCCAATAGGTCTTTCCCTAGCGTCCCTGCCAGGTAGGACACAGCCAGGTTAAGTGCTCTCGACATCTTCTTGCTCAAAGCATTCGCTGGCTCACAAAAGGTCGGACAGATCGGCCGATAAAGAGACAGATCCTTCTGTTTAGGAAGAATATAGCTCCTTACCGCCTTACCATCCGACTTCCACTTGCCCAAATTACCGATCCCATTCCCAATGAATTCCTCATAACTTTGTGCCCAATACCTTTCTTCAGTCTCGGCAAGAATCTCAAATCCTGTATTACGCACAAACATCGATTGCATCCCTTCATAATATGCCATCGGGCACATTACAACGGTTTCTCCCGGGTTTTTGTCAACCGGAGTAAACACCAACCCTTCGTATGCCCTTTTCACCTTCCACACTTCTTCAATCGGCAACTCGTCCTTCCCTCGCCTTCTATCATTTATGCATGCCTCAACTTCTGCCAATTCCACCGCAACACTCGCCCGCCTTCCACATTTCCAACTGCGAAATCCTTCTTCAATCTCCTCCTTGAGCCTCATCACCCTACAACGATTTGAACTACGCGGTACATTCCTTGCGTTGGCCAACAGGGGGTGAATGCCCGGTATATCACCGAGACGACATCTGACATGCCCACCGATACGGGGCAGTCCAATACCTGCACACTGGCAGGCTGCAACCATTCGGGAAGATTGTTCCCTGTGGTTATGCAGCATGTCGCCCACCGACGGGTTCTTAGCCCAGTTGATGCGTGACTTACGCTTCACAATGTCGTCTGTATATGCCGGCAAACCCAACTGACAAACTTTCTCATCACACAACCTAGGAATCCCACTCAGGTTAACCCTGTCGTCATATCGAACCTTGACCACCAGGCAGCTGTACAGATTGACACCCGTCTTCCGTTTAATCGCTCCGTACAAGATCCTGCGCAGCATACTCCGCGTCCCCTTCTTTGAAAACTCCTTGGCTGCACCCAATAGATCCACAAGCAATCTCAACGGAAAGTTCGCGGCATCACTTCTTCTCTCCGGGTACTTTAAAAGCATTACCAAAGCCGCTTTCTGCCCCCGGCATGCAGCAGTCCATTTCTTCAACCTCCAAATCTGCAGTTTCCCACCCTCCTCAATTCGTTTCTTGCATGCGCGAAGCTTCACGATCCCACCGTCTAACAACACCTCCGATTCACCAAACAGTCTACGTACCGTCTTCCACTTATCCACCCATCCTCTCCCTTCTGTCGAAAATAAGGAAAAACACACATTACCAACCCGAACCTGCTCAGTCAACAGATTTACCAACCCACAGGTCTTCTTCCCATTACTAATCCAGAAATTCAAAAGCTCAACCGGTGTCTGATTGCTCCGCTGTCCCTTCCGTGCTTTCTCCCTCTCCTTCCTACCTCGTCGCCGTCTCCTTGATCCCGATCCCGTTGACCTCGCACCGAACGTATTCAATGCTGGTGACCACCTCCTAATGCAGAATTCTTCAATCGCAGGGAGCTGGTCAGGTTCCGCGTGGCAAATCGGAATAAGAACGTAATTATGCGCCCCAAACCTCTTTAACCACCGATGGAAGCGCGCAGTGCCTGTCCCTTCATCCCCACTCTTTCTCACGTGTTCTGCCCACCTCACGTCAGCACTTCGCCCCGTGCGCCCAATATAGATAGACTTACAAATTGGGGAAATGGCAGCATACACACACGGGTGGGGTTTTCCCAAGAAATCTTCATCCCTCGCACATAACGTCGCCCAATCCGGAGTAAACTTCCGTGCCCACGGTATACAACCACGAATCGATAAGGATACGACCACCGTCCTAAAAACTGCCTCAATCTCGGGTACAATCCCATTTCCTTGTTCCCTCATTCTGACGCCGACTCCTCCGATTCGTCCGAGTCACTTCCACTTGACACCTCGGACGCTCCCTCCTTTCTTCTCGCTGGCCGGCTCACCGGTATCCGGCACCTCCGAATTGTCATATGCGAGCATCGCCCGTTTTTCCCGCCAAGGCACAGACAGCCTGCGATTTGCGGACGTAAGGTACTTGCTCGGCCTTGCACATCTTCTGTATCACCTTCAAAGTCATCGCTTGTAGCCCGGTCTTCATCTTCTTACCCGATCCCCGGGTCTCCCCCTTCCACGCCTCCGGGTCTTCGTGAGGGACGGTGGTGTTGACCACATCTCCTCATCAGTCGTCTCCCTCTTCCTCTTCTCGGCACTAAGGAACATATTTTCAGTACTTGCTCGCAGACCCTCAATCTCCTCCTCCGACACTCCCCCGTCAGGGACATATGGAATCCTTCGCGGTTGCCAATAACCGGTTGGGGTGATCTTGCTCGTAGCGGAATTGGAGTGATCTTGCTCGTCCGCTGAGTCAGCAAGATGCTGGTTGGGGTGATTGTTTTTTTTTTTTTTTTTTTTTTTTTTTTTTTTATTTTTTTTTTTTTTTTTTTTTTTTTTTTTTTTTTTTTTTTTTTCCCCCCCCCCCCCCCCCCCCCCCACCCAAAAAAAAGACCATCTTTGTTTTTCAGCCTTTTCTGCTCTTCTGGCAGAGGCTACATCCTTTCGCTTTCTCGCCCCAGGATTTCCCGGCCACTTCTTACACGGAGGGGTATGCACATTTTTTACCGCGGTATGTGCATTTTTCTACTGGGGGTATGCACACTTTTACTGGGGTATGCCCATTCAGGGCATTGAGGGTAATGGTAACTATATGCACACTTTTACTGGGGTATGCCCATTCAGGGCATTGAGGGTAATGGTAACTATATCTCAGCCTTCAGTACAAAAGAAAGAAAAAAGAAAAAAAAGATTTAAAAATCCTGTTTGGTGAGCAGTTAAGAACATGAACTGCTGGCCTTCCCTCAGCCTGTCCCTCCCTCTGTAAATAAACCTGATGAATGAAGATAATCGTGACGACTCAAAGATAGTTTTTCTTCGCTACTTTCTGCCTTGCTTTATGGCCACGATCGGGAATGCACATTTTATGTTGGCATGCCCCCTACCCGCCGTCTCTAAGCATTTGGATGTACACACGGATAAAAGGGTAACAGGGTAAAAGGGTAAAAGGGTAAAAGAGGATCAGATGGGTTTTAACTTTTTTGCGCCACCATCCTGCTTAGGTAATTGGATAATATGTTGTTGACTACCTTGGTTTGCCCATGTTATCTCTGTAAATGAATGCGGTCACCTTTGTGCATAATGGGGGAAAAGAGGATAAGACGGATTTTACGGTTTTATCCAGAATTCGAGCTCAAACTTGTCTCTTTCTGTACCCAGAACCCATTGGCTTAGCCCTGATGGCTTCCCCTTCACCTGCCCATGTTGTTTACCATTCCCGAGTCGCATTCCTCCTCTGCTCCCCACGCTCGCTCCTTCCCCCCTCCCGCGGCCCTTCTTCTTCTTCTTCTTCTTCTTCTTCTTCTTCTTCTTCTTCTTCTTCCCCTCCTTGTCCGCCTCCTTGTCCTCCTCCTCCTCCTCCCCCTCCCCCT